CAGAAAAACAGCAAGAATAGTTTGGAATAATTTGGAAGATGCATACTGTTTGAATTATAAATAAGATTATACAACGAACTGAGTATTAACAACACCTTGAAGTGCAGCAACTCACCCATCTGATCTGATTTTTAGTGCCCAATGCACAGGTGCCTAATGTGCATCAGAAGTGCCTGATATGTATCAGAAGTGACCAATGGTTTTCCCTCTGGGTGCTTTGGGTCTATTCTGGGAGAAAGGCAACATACAAATGAAGTAAATAAAATAATGAATAAATAAATAAAATCTAGAAACACCTTTTTTAATTTTAAAAAAAATCTCTGTAGTGCTGGCGTTAAGAAGCTGAAACACTGACATTCTTTTTCTGGTGTCCCTCATCTTTATTTCTGGTCATGCAATGACAGTGGAATCCCCATGGAAGTCTTTATTTTTCAAATTAATAGTTTATATTTAATGAATGTCTGGAGGAACATTCTGTCTCTAAATTGCTGGAGGAATTCTTTAACAATTATTGAACCTCACCTTCCCCTTTCCATTCTGTCTTTCACTTCACCTTGCTACTTTTTCATATGCTGGTCTACAATCCATGGGCAAACAAAGGCAAACTGGGGAGAAGGGTATTTACAGAACATGCATTTCACCCTCAGAAATGAAGAAACCAGTTCCTGTTCGTTACAAACAGTGGCTTTGGGTTAACAGACTTGCTTCCCTAATTTCATTTGCAAAAGCGGAGATAGGCAGTTGAAAGTTTCCACTGGGGTAGCAAATTTATGTAAGGTTTTGAACTACTTTTAAAGAATCATGGAATCATAGCATTGGAAGGGGTCCCATAGGTGATCAAGTCCAACCCCATCCCACTCTACTGCAAGAACTTCAGTTAGAGCATGCCCATCAGCTAGCTGTCCAGCTTCTTTTTTAAGACATCCAGAGAGAGATCCCACCATCTCTCTAGGCAATTGGTTCCACTGCCAAAACACTTTTACCATCAAGATGTTCCTTCTAATGTTAAGGTGCAATCTACCCTCCTGTAAATTAAATCCATTCAATCTGGTCCTATCCTTTGGGCAGCAAAGAACAAGCCTGCAGTCTCTTCTCTTTGACAGCCCTTGAGATATTTCAAGAACATGATCATGTCATCATTGTATCTCTGCTTCACCAAACTGAACGTGCCCCTCCAATCTTTCCTCATATGTTTTTGCTCTTTGTATATCTTATCGTCCTTTCTGCCCATCTCTGAGCCTACTCCAAATTGTCTATAGTACAGTGGTGCTTCCACATTTGCTGAATGTGGAAAAATTGCAAATT